CTGACCTTGCCTCAACAGCACTTCCAATGGTGCAAAAGCTGCCCAGAAAAAATTGCTTTATGCATTTAAAGGGTAGTAGGTCATGCGGGCTGAGCAGGGGAGCAAAAGGCTGTTCTCAGAGAACTGGGGAGGAAGACCTCAGCAGAGTAGTCTAGGCCAACCTTTCCCAACCAGGTGCTCTCCAGGTGTTTTGGACTACAACTCCCATCAACCCCAGCCAGCTTGGCCTGGGTTCTCAGCATCGTCTGTCCATCTGATGGGAGTTGTGCTAGATTGGAGAAGGCTGTGGATTTTCTGAACTCCTTAAGCCTTGGACTCTGGGTCTTGTTACCGTTTTTCGCCCAAATTCTTAGCTTCCTGTGCTGTGCTGGGTGAGTCATCTGACCTTTTGTATATTTGGTCTTCCCCGACAAAAAAAGAAAAGAAAAATCTATTTCCTTGCTGTAACTTTCACTACTGACTCAATGCTTTGAGAACTGGACCACTGTGGAACATTATCCTTTTAAAAAAAGCCAAAAAACCTAACTTTGAAAGAAGAGTTTCTCTAAATAACCCTGCCAGGATTTTTCCAAGTTTCAGGAAATGAATATTTGGTTGGGAGAGTGTGGCTGTCTGCTGGCAGAAAACAAACTTGGTACAAGGTACAAAACACACACACACTACTTCTTTGGCGATCACTCGTAGCAGAGTAAGATTGTCTTCCATGAACATGGTCTAAGCAGTGAGTCTGTAAGTGACTGTTCTGGATCCACACATCCTTCCACAGTGGGGACATAGGTTTCCGGGCGGAAGTTGATCATGGTGAGGGTTTACCAAACATGTCTTCCTCTTCGCTTCTCCCTTTTGTCCTGAGCTGAGCATCTTCAAAGTCCATGGCATTATGCTGCACCAACAAGCACTAAACAACCCCTCTGCAGCACCACAAATCCAACTAAATGGTGTAACATTGGAAAGTGTCAATCACTTCTACGTGGGCATCCAGTGTTGATGCATAAGCGCTTAGAATAGTAGCCTGTTGGTTTTTGGTGAGTTTTATGTGAAGGGTTGAAAGTTGCTCATTAATGTTGGTAGGGACTTCTAACAAGAGCTTTGCAAGATCGTTTTTTATAGCGAAGCCTACGCCCATGTATTCAATGTTCTTGTTAAAAAAACACCTTTTCCAGTAGAACATGTAGCCTCCTTTTTCTTCCTTCAGTTGTTCCTCTCCTGCTCTTTGAGTTTCTTGAAGCGCTGCAGTATCAATGTTAAAACGTCACAGCTCTCTTGCAATGATGGCAGTTCTGCGTTTGGGACGCTCATTATCTGTGTTATCCAACAAAGTCCATATGTCCCATGTTCCAAAGTTCAATTGTATTTTATGACTGCTGGATAGTGACTCCACTGGGAGCAGTAATTCAGTTAGGGCAGGCATAGGCAAACTCTGCTCTTCAGCTGTTTTGAGACTACAATTCCCATCATCCCTGACCACTGGTCCTGTTAGCTAGGGGTGATGGGAGTTGTAGTCCCAAAACGTCTGGAGGGCCGAGTTTGCATATGCCTGAATTAGGGGGAAAGGGAGGCAGAGTATGTTTAGGGCACCTTTTCTAGCCCCTCCCCCTTTCCAGGGGTTCATGACTAGGGGCTTCCATATTTCACGTTCCTGCCCCTGTTACTATTGGCTGATCACCATGGGACTTTTGGGTTTGGGAAGAGATTTTGGAAGAGGCCTGTGTGTGAATTTGTTTTATGTGTGTAGATCAGTGCACACTGACCAACGCAGAATCTTTGCAGCTCTTATTTTGATGGCATGAGTATCACAATGACTGGTAGATTCTTATCTGCTGCAGCCTTCACCCACCTTCACAGCCACTTGTTATCTTCTTCCTGTTCTGCCGTTGAGGACTTCTTGGATCATTCATGGTTAGCTCCTCCCCTTTGACCTTACTGCCTTGGATCACCCTGCTAGGAGTACGAGACTCCCGATGGCTTCGGTCACAAGGCTCATGGTCACAAGGGTCATAGGATTGTGCAAGCCCACTCACCCCGACAAGGTGATGATCCAGCGAGACAACACACACACACACACACACACACACACACACACACACTGCTAGGTTTTAATTTCTGCTGTCTTCTAAAGTGGTTAATGTTAAGGTTTATATGCCACCTTTGAGGCACAGAAGACACCCCAAGGCAGCTCATAAGCAATGCAAATACAGCACAGTGTAATCAGACTAAATCTTAAAATACATCCCTTTTCCTGCCGAAAAAGCAACAGATTATTCCCCAGAGAAATTCTCTCCCTCATTCTGGGTGTCTTTTTTCTTTTTCATCTCTCCGGTGGCAATTTAAGAATTTTGGGACAGCCCTTTCATTATATGTATTGTCATTAAATGCCTTGTTTACACCAGCTTCTGCACAGCCTAGGTGCCCTCCAGATATTTTGGGGATACAGTTCCCATTGTCCCCAGCCAGCATCACTCAATGATGCTGAGTCTGCTGGGATCATGGCTATGATGGCTGGGGGTGACTGGAGATGTACCCCCAAAACATCTGGAAGGCGCATAGGATGGCAAAGGCCTTTATAGCAGCTTAGAATAATAGAATTGTAGAGTTGGAAGGGACCCCAGGGGCCGTCCAGTCTAACTCCCTGCAATGCAGGAGTTGCAGTTAAAGAATCCCTGACAGATGGCCACCCAACCTCTGTTCAAAAACCTTCAGTGAAGGAGAGCCCACCACCTTCCAAGGGAGTCAGTTCCACTGTCAAACAACTCTTAAGTTCTTCTATGTTTAATCAGAATCTTCTTCCTTGTCATTTGAAGCCATGAGCTTGGTTCCTACCCTCTGGAGCAGCAGAAAACAAGCTTGCTCCACACCCTGGAACATCCTAGTGTCGATTGTGAGCACCCCTGACACTGACGAGTTTTGCAGTTCTGAACATCTGCCCACCAATTGTGTGTGTAGTCTAGCTGCTGAAGCTTCCCACTTCTTTGAGTCCTCCTAGTGGGATTTACTGAGCTCTGTTAACTTTGGTTCAGCCATCAGTTCGGAAGTAACCGTCACTTTTTTTTGGCAGTGGCGCTTGCCAGACCTGTCATCGTGTCTTGCCAGCTTATCCCTCATTAGCAAACGGTTTTGGGCAGTTTCCCAAGCACTTGAGGCTTCCTATTGGAATTGTTGCTGAAGGAATGGCAGTGTCTGAGGGGGGCGGGCAGGCTTCTCTGTGGCTGGCGGGAGTTCCCTTGCTTTTCCTGAGCCCAAATGAAAGAGGGACTTCGCCAAATCGTTCCCCGAACGACCCGTTGGAGCACTTTTTCTTCTTCTGATTTTGTTAGCTTTACTAGCAATCCAAAAGTGCAGTGTCAGGGAATTACATCATACCATATACAAAGCAAGCAAGCAAGCAAGCAAGGAATAAATCATAAGAGCAATAAATGGGGACACACAAATACGAATTGAGGCATCCATATTTCCTGAGCTGTGTGGCTGGTGAATGTGGAGCATCTAAGTCTGAACCATAGGAAATAAAATCCTACCAGATGACATAATAGCATCCTCCATTCCTTTTCTGCAGTGGCTCCCCGTCTGTGGAATGCTCTCCCCAGGGAGATTTGCCTGGCACCTTCATTATACATCTTTAAGTGCCAGGCAATAACATTCCTCTTTAACCAGGCGTTTGGTTGATTTGATTGATATCCTATGCCCTTTTAAAATGTGTTGGGGGGGCGGTGGCTATTTGGTTGTTGTTGTTTTTATTTTGATTATGTATTTTCTGGTTTTATATAGAGTGGCATATCATCATCATCATCACCATTATTATTATTATTATTATTATTATTATATCCCCTTGGAACATGCAGTTTCAATGTGACTTTTTATGCAACAGCCAAAGTCCCATGCATTCTTAAACTGCAAAGGTAAATGTAGATTTTTCAAGGGTTATTTAAATCCAACTGCAGCTAACATGCACATCTAAAGCTCTTTAGTATATTCAGCTATGACATTGGAGTACAGTGGTACCTTGGGTTACAAACACCTTGGGTTACAAACACTTCAGGTTACAGACTCCGCTAACCCGGAAGTAGTACCTTGGGTTAAGAACTTTACCTCTGGATGAGAACAGAAGTCGTGCGGCGGCAGCAGGAGGCCCCATTAGCTAAAGTGGTACCTCAGGTTAAGAACGGTTTCAGGTTAAGAATGGACCTCCGGAATGAATTAAGTTTGTAACCAGAGGTACCACTGTACTTAAGAAGATAAGAAGAATCAGGCCAATGGCCGATGGTCTATCTAGGCCAGCATCTTGTTCATACAGTAGCCAACTAGATTCCCGGGGGAAACCCACAAGCAGAACCTAAGCGCAAGAGCACTGTCCAGCAACTGGTATTCAGAAGCATTACCGCCCCTTGACTGTGGAGGCCGAGCATAACCATTATGGCTAGTAGCCATTGATAGCCCACTCCTACATGAATTTGTCCTCAAGCCATCCGTGTTGGTGAGACAGAGTTCCACCATTTAATCATGTGCCCTGTGAATAAGTGCTTTCTTTCAAAGGAAAGTGCATGCTGCCATAGAAGGAACACTTTAAAAAGTGTTCTGCTGTTGTGGAACAGATGTCAGCTGGGAGATGCTGCTGTTTCTCTTTGGATAAATCCTGACAAAAAAAAACAAGTCAAGATTCCTCGCATGTAGAAAATTAGCATGTTGGAGGCAAGGGGTTTTCCCGGCATGCTCTGGCACGTGTGTTTCCATCTGTCTGTGCAGTGAAGTAACATTCTGTCTCGTAAGCCTTCCTCCGCCTTGCACTCTGAACTGGTCCCATCCAGAAACGGGCTCACCTCTCCTGCTTTTGTGAGAGCAAGGGCATTCTTATCTCCCTGCAAAGCAAAAAAACGATTGGCTGCTCTCAGAAATGTGCATTGTGCTGCCCTCCTTCCTACTCCCCAGGCTTTTTTTGTTTGAAGAAACCGGCTTTCTTAACTCAGTTGACTGATCTTGGCTTTCATTTCCCACCCCCCCTCCAGTTCTAACCATTTATCATGTGGGCGACATGCTGCAACTGGTTTTGCCTGAACGGGCAGCCCGAGGACATCCAGCACCGCCCGCAGCAGGGGACCCGCGCGCAAGCCTACGCCAACGCCGGCTACAGCTCCTTCCCTTCGCCCACCGGCCCTGAGCAGGGCTGCAAAGGCTGTGGGGCCCGTTTCAGCAACACCACCCTTAAGGTGAGTGGGGTGTCCTGCTCCACATTGGGAGCACATGGTGGGAACCTGCTCTAGTTCTCTTACTGTGTTTCATGGGAATTGTGTCGGGGTTTTGCATATTAAGCGGTATATAAGTAGTATTTGTGATGAGGACAAACGACCACGTCAGCTCACAATGCTGCGCTTAGAGGGCAGAGTGGACAGGTGCGCAATGAGCTGGAACACAACCCCCTTGCATATGGGGAGTTGCCTGTATATATACTTTGTTGTGATTGATTGCATTTTTTGTAATTGTAAGAAAAAATATTTTGTATTGCACATTTTACATGGTTATAACCCATGGGACCTTAGGGTGATGGGAAAGTAATTATTTTTGTTATTAATAATAATATTGATGAGAAGTTGAATGGACACTTGAGAGAGAGAGAGCTTCCAACAGAGCTTAACTTGTGAATCTTGGGTTATTAGATTGTTGTTTTTATTTTTATATGTACTTTATGGTTTTATATTCTGATTTTTATCCTGTGAACTGCCCTGACCCCTGCAGGTTTAGGGCTATATATAAATTCAAATAACAACAACAGCAACAGCTTACTGTGACAAGCTGAGGTGGTGGCCCCTGCCTGCTGAGACGGCTTTTTAAAAGGTTGGGTGCAGGAGGGATTAGACAAATTCAGGAAAGAGGTTTAGCCCCGCTAGGAAAGTGGAGCCTCCACATTTAAGGGCACTTTACCTCTGAATACTGGAGAGCAGCAGCAGGGGCCTGCCAGCGGACTTCAATGAAAGTCACCAGCTGGCCAGTCTAGAAAACTGGGGTTCTAGAAGGATCCCAACAGGTGGCTCTCATAGGCATAATTTTCTTTGAAGTCACTGTGGGGCTGATTCAGGGTCAGCCCAGGGCTGGCTATAGCCATTTGCATAAGCCAGAGTTGAAAAAAAATCAAAGCCTGCCATTCCTGTGCTGGTGGGAGTCCAAAGCATCTGGAGTGAACACCAGGTTAGGGGAGGCTGTTTTAAAACAGCAGGTTCAAGAGCCCCCTTATTCTCTCCTGTCCCCAAACTTGTTCCAAACCTGCACATTTTGTTCCAAACGTGCACATTTGTGTCGCACAGAAATGCCTGCGGTGGAAGCGTATGTTTCCCTGCACAGTCTGGTTTTTCCTTGTATTGCAGGCTTAAGTTCTGGCACGCTTGAGTCACCCTGGGGGCGGGTACGGAGGAGGAAAGGCATTTTCTCACTCGGAGAAGTCCATTTAAATGAGGAGGGGTTTTCTTCTCCTGGGAAGTCTTCCGTTGGGGTGGCAGGAGGCCAGCCTTTCAGAGTCTCGGAAAGCATCTGACCTCCTGCACGTTCTTGGATGGAAAAATGGCAAGGGAAAGGGAGGCAGATGTGGAGCCTTTGTATGGAATGTGTGTGCATTTATGTGCTTGTGTACACACACAACTCCTTTACACAGAGAGCTTCCCAACCATCCTGAGTTAGTTTCCAACAGCTCACCAGGGTTAACCCTTGGTTTGCCTAACTGCCATCATAGCAATGCCCCCTTGCTCCCCAAAGACCTTGCCATGCTTTTGTGAATAATGAATAATGTTGCCCGACTTTTGACTCTGGACTTATTTCCCTGAAAGTTAATTGCTTGAACTTTTATAAACACACTGGCCACACCTTCCAATATAGGACCACTTTTCTTATATCTTACTATTTCTTCTTTTTAATGGCATTTAGTTTAATTTTAATCCTCTGCTTAGTCCTAGCAGAGAAGAGCAGAATACCCAGTTGCCCCCACTCCCGCCCCAGCTTTTACTTTATGAATAACCCTGCGAGGTAGATCCGGCTGAGTCTGTGATGTCGTAGGAAAATATACATGGTTCCACCCTCCTCATTTCATCCCCACAACAACCCTGTGAGGTAGACCAGGCTGAGAGGTGGTGACTGCCCCCTCGTGAGCTACAGCCCCTCCCCTACATGTAAAAACTTCCTGGGTTGGGGTACTAGACACAGAACTGACTTAGGACAGACAGGACTTCTGGGATGTGGGAAGTCTTGAGGAGGTCGATCGAGTGAATTTCACTGCTGGGCTGGGATTTGAATCCAAGGCCAAAGCGCCAGCCACCACAAATGCTACCCCAGCACACCACAAGGGACTGCTGGCTTTCTCCTAAGGAATGAGAGCCTGCTTGGAAGCTCTCTGGAACTGCTGTGGTGGCTGAGTGTCCCAAGATCCTCACCATTCCAGTTTTGCTTCTACTGAGCACTTTTTAAGTCAGCCAGGTTGGTTTGTTTACAGCCAAAGGTCACCAGAGAACAAGACTCCATTCAGACTCAAGGCAAGGGAGCAGCATTCTGCATCATGCATGTAAGCATTCATTTTGCTGCTGTCAGTAAATGGAGGGAGCATCATATGATCATGGAGAGCAGGATGCCCCTCAGTGAGCATCTCAGCAGTTTATACTGAATTACTTGCATGACACGAGGGGCATCTGTAATTTCTCTCCACACCCTCTCCACTGTAAAAATGTGATTAAAAAAAAACACGGCTAAAAATTTTGGGCAGTGCCTTATACTGAATCAGACATACACCATGTGTAAGGTGAGCATTTAAGTACAGACTCCTGGATCAGGCCAGTGGCCCATCTAGTCTAGCATGCTGCTCTTGCAGGGGCCAGCCAGAAGCCTGTGGGAAACCCTCAAGTAGGACCCCAGCACAAGAGCAGCCCTCTCCCCTCCTTGGCTTTCCAGCAACTGCTGCTTCCAGCCGTGGAGGCTGAGCAATAGCCGTCGTGGCTAGTAGTTACTGATAGCCCTCTCCTCCATGAATGTGGCTAATACTCTTTTAAAACCACACCCAAGCTGGTGGCCATCACTGCCTCCTGTGGGGGGGAGTTCCATAGTTTAACTATGCGTTGTGTGAAGAAGGAATTTCTGTTACGAGTCCCGAATCTTCTAGTATTCAGCCTTGTGGGATGTCCAACAGTTCTAGTGTTATGAGAGAGGGAGGAAAACTTTTCTCTACCCACTTTCTCTGTGCCATCCATAATTTTATACACTTGACTATCACGTCACTGTCACACTCCCCCCCCCAACTAAAAAGTCCCAAACGTTGCAGTCATTCCTCATAGGAGAGTTGTTCCAACTCCTTGATCATTTTGGTACTTGATCATTTGCTACGGAGCACCTCAGCAAAGAGCTTTCTCTATCCATTGTATTGATCCTAAGCAGAAGCAGGCATTAAGTACCGTTGCAACAATGGCTTATGTTGAGATTTTTATGCTATGAGTTAAGATTCTTTGCTTGAATTCCGAATCCTAAGCAGTCTCGAATCTGGGATAGCAAAACACCATTCTTTTCCCCACCTTGGCTGGGCTACCAACTCATTTTTATTTAAATCCATCAGCAACTTCTAATTTTCTTGGTTAACAAGCCATCAATTTCCTTATGTGTATAAAACTATCGTAAAATATACACAGGTACAACAAAGACATGCAATGCCTTGAAAACCAAACCAGTACAAAACAATCATATGTACAGTTGGCTCAGTTTATCAGTGACTTGTTGTCCAGGATCCTACAGTGCCCAGAAGCTGCCAGCTCAAAATACAGAGGTCTGTCTTATCTCAGAGGCTCCCCAATAATTTTGAGCCACTGTCCACCCCCACCCCCCGGTTCAACAATCTCATCCCCAGTGCCCCCTTACCCTATAAAAAGCATTATTCTGTTTAGTTGATTCTCTAAGTAAGATAAGAGCATGATAACATTCAAAGCAGTGCCAGTTAATTGCACATTTATTAAAAATGCAATTACAGCTGTTTAGTTTAATTAATTCAACAGAACTGATGAGCTTGCTCCAGTGATACCCGTCCGATAAGTCATTTAACTCCACCTCTCCCCCAGGGGGCACCACTGACCACTTTGGGAAGCACTGGCCTGTCTCTTCCTCTGCCCCGGCTGCCTCCGCCTGACATTCCTCTCTTCCCTTTTCCGGACAGCACACCTGCCTAGACTGCAAAAAGACCTTCTGCCTGGCCTGCTCGCACCAGCCGGAGAGCGGCCCCTGCCTCTGCCACCTCTGCGAGCGGTTCCGGGCCACAGCCTTCCAGCGGGAGGAGCTGATCAAAATGAAGGTGAAAGACCTGCGGGACTACCTGGAGCTGCGGGAGATCTCCACCGAAATGTGCCGCGAGAAGGACGAGCTGGTCTGTCTGATCATCGGCCAGCAGCCCGCTGTGGGTCCCCAGGGAGACAGGACTGCCCGGGTTCCTCCGGTGACAATCGTCTCCCATGTCCAGGAGCAAGAGGCCCCTGCACCTACCTCACCGGACTGCCCTCCTGAGTGGGCTGCGACAGACCCTGCCTTGCAGACTGAGGAGCAGCCACAGGTACTGCCCGGCTGAGTGTTAATCTCCTGGCGAAACACCTGTGTGGTCATTTGCCCTCACTCTTGGGCGGCTTCGTAAGGTTCTTGCTTGCTCTTCAAGGGTTCATAGCTTCATACGTAGACTTTATCAGTCTTGGCATTTCTATATTGCCCAACCTACCATGTCTTATGTGTGCCCCAGTGCTAAGGTGGGCAGGGCTGGATTTTGGTCTTTCCAATTTCAGTGGTGCCCTGTGTGAGGCCAAGATTTGGCACCTTTTGCCTTCTGTTCTGCCCAATTCACAACTATGTCATAGTTGCAACACCCTGAAGCGACCCCAAGGCTTGGTGCCCAGTGTGGTGGAAGCATTTGCGCTTCTCTAAATCCGCCTCTGAGGTTGGTGTAAAACCAGCCTGAAAGCATTACAAAGCATCGTCAGCGCTATAAAAATGTGAAAACTCCAGAAAAGGCCTGAAAGAATATAGGAACATAGGAATCTGCCTTTCTGTTCCGTCTAGCTTAGAAGTGGCTACAAATGACTGGAAGCAGCTCTTTGGGGCTTCAGACAGTCCATGCTCTACCTGCAGATGCCTGAATTTGAACCCAGCACCTCCTGCATGCAAAGCAGATGCTCTTGCACTGCACTATGGCCCTTTCCAAGATATAGGTCCTGAGAAAATCCTGATGTAGGTGCTAAGTGAGCCTTTCTGATGAGCATTGTGTAACTGGGGTGCCGCTACCAACAAAGCCCCCTCCCTAGTTTTGAGTTGAATGCTGTGGTTGCCTTCCCTTGTGCCTCTTCTCCCCCCCACATGCCTTAATAAAGAGATAGGGTGTTCACCCACCCACCTTTACTTTTCGAAGTGTTCCAGGTAAAAATGAACTCCAGTAGAATTAACCTGAGCCTTGGAAAACCCATAGAGCTGAAAGAGGAAGCGGGAAAGAGTGGCACTCTTCCCCGCTTCCTCTTACAGCTCTGTGTCTTTTTCAAGGGAGGAAAAGGAAACCACCCTCATCACCGAGGGGTCAGTGAGCATGGGCAGGCAGGGGAGGGCTCTTAAGTGCACCACTGGGTGACCACTGATCTTTACCAACCTCATGCATCTCCCTGGCAGCCTCTCACCGTTCTGCTGCGTGCTGCCTTGGCTCAACCCTTTAGCCCACAGGCTAGCCAGAGGAGACCATAGAGCCCTTTTTGCCCACCCAGCCCCCAATAAGACATGGGGGTTGGGCAGCACCCAGAGATTGGAGTGCCCTTGGCCCTGCAGCGCTGTGTCACAAAGAGCCAGGCTGCCTTGCATTCTCCATGATGTCAGCCCCGCGTCACAATGGAAGGCAGCAGGGCAGAGCCAGGCCTTCCCGGCATGGGCTCCTGGTGCCTCTCTGCAGCTCAATCATGACTGACCCGGGCCTTGGGGACACCACCCTAGGGTTTCCCTACTCAAGCCTAGGCGGTCTTAACGGGGCTTAGTCAACATTAAGGTAAAGGGGCCCAGCAGACGTCGTTTCCCAACTGGGAGCAATTTCAGCATCCAGCTGGGGTGTGTTTGGGATTGCCTGAGTTTCCTCTTGGTTCCCCCCACCCCATTATTTTTGTTTTTCTTTATTTGCAATATATATATATATATTGTAAAGAGTGATTCATACGCAGGTGATTTTTTTGTTCTTACATATCAGCACCGCACAGAAGCACCACATGCCTATTTAATTGCATTTCAAGCCATAGAATCATAGAGTGCAATGCAGGAATATGCAGCTGTCAAACCTACAACCTTGGTGTTGTCAGCACCATGCTTTGGCCGACTGAGCTACCCAGTGACTGAAATCCAGTGATTTCAGTTTTTATACAATGGTATCATTCCACAAGCTGCCATGTGCTCTCAGAAGCCTATAACCGTGTTCCATTGATGCTGCATATGGAATAAAATTATGCCAGGCTGATGGAAAAGTAGTGATTTTCTTGCCTGTTTGACTCACTTGGACAGGAGTTGTCAGTTTGGCCATTAAGTCCTAGAGTTGTGAGAGCCAGATTGCAAACAGGTCTGCATTTAGCTTCTTCCTCTTGTGATTCCTTGTGCATCCTTCTAGAGTTCAAAAGGACGAAGGAGAGTTTCTGTTTATTATTAATTGATTGCTTATATATTTAAACTTACTATTACCCAAAGTCTCTAAGCGACTGATGTTAAAGGAAAAGTAGATGCACATATTCAATAACATAGGGAAAAGAGGGGAGGGAATCATATAACACATTATCTTTTCATATAATAATATACAACTTATGGAAAAACAACATAGCATCTCTACTACTACTACTACTACTAATAATAATAACCACCATATGCAAATAGTAAACAAAGCAATGCTCCCACCAAAACCTTAACCTCCTCCCTAGTCCAGAAACTCTTCACATTGAACCAAGAATTTTTCTTCCTCTTTGTCCCTCCCTCTGCCCTCCATCCCACCTTGCGTCAGGCCAGCAGCTGTAAATCAGCTTTGGGTGGGTTCAGGGTCCTCCAGAGATGGCCCAGCATCTTTTCTAGACTCTTCTGTCTCTCCACGGTGGGTTTTCTAGGAAGTTCAGTCTTTCAGCAGCATCTGTTTTCCTCCTAGGCAAATGGGCATGTCTTACCGAGCCAGGGCGACATGGCGGAAGTCGAGAATGCAGTGGAAGCACTGACCGAGGAGGAGACACAGGTAGGCGAGGGCTGATGATGCAGCCAGAACAAGGAGGCCATGTGTGGGGGTGGGCCAGGGGTTGCAATGAGTGCTCTGGATACCGAAAAAGATTATGGGGATCCTTGGTGGTGCAGTGGTTGGATTTCAAGGTAGGTTCAAGCCCCACTTTTACCTGTAAAATCATTTACGTGTGGCCCTATGGAATCTTCGTCCGCTTACCTCTTCTGCAGCCCCACAGCTTGAATTTCACAGTGTGATGTCCCCTCGCTGGTGGACTGGTCTCCATCCTCTGCTACCCACCAGCTGATTGTATGGAGCTTGAAACCTGTTTTGCATTCCTCTGGTTCCGAAATGCCAAGGGGTGCATGTACACACACACATTCAAGGAAGGCAAAAAAACCAGTGCGGTTTTGAAATTGGTGGCTAAAATCTGTGCGGTTCTGAAAGGTTCAGTCTGCCCTCTAGGTTCAAAAAAAGCATCCAGTTGTATCCAAACATAGACGAAAACCTGCTCCTCAGTCTCAGGAACCATCATGCAAAATTGGATGCTGATAGCATAAAAGGTGTCTGAATGCCCAGCAAACAGGCAAACGACTTTCCAAAACACACAGTAGATCTGTTTGTATGAGAGATGTGTATATCTCTGTCTGTGTGGTATATTATTTATGCCCTACGTCTTCGCCAGTATTGGTTCCAAAAGTGAGCCACAGCCAATCACATGATAGAATATTAGGGGATTTTGTGTTGTGTGTAAGATGTCAGGATAGGAATTTGTTCAGTCCACATTTTTAAACAAACTGACCTAGTTTGCAACTCCCAGGCAAATAGATCAGAAATATGATAGCCCTTTTGGTTTTGCACTTCTCCGAATTTTGTAATTCCAGTTCTTGGCTCAGAAAAACGTACTGCAAAGCATGCAAATGCATTAGGATAAAAGTATTATTTAGAAATGCATTGAATTTGAATTTGAATATGGGTTTTTTCTTTTAAATAATAACAAATTAATGAAGAGATGGGATGGGATGGAGTTAAACTTGGAGGAAGTACACTGATCAGTCCTTCCTTAGTATCAAGGAGGAGAGATGACTGAAGCTTGCTGTTGTAGCCCCTCTCTCTCCCTGCCCTCTGCTTTCCATCTCTTCTTGCCATAACCCAGCCTACCCCAGCCTGGTGCCCTGTGCCTCCCACCATCCCTGAGCATTGACCATGCTAGCTGGGGCTGATGGGACTTACAGTCCAAAATATCTGGAAGGCAGTCGGTTTGAGAAGTCTTTCGGTTTCTACCACCCGTGTGTTTTTATTAAAGCTAAGCACATTTGTGCCACTAACTTCACCCAGATGCACCCTGATAAATAAATAAATATTGTTCATGGGTCCAGGTTAGAAAGGCATTGCAGGCAAATAAATCTGGTTTCTAGCACCGGGTGCCCAGATATCATTACACCCTCATGTGCTTGGTGAAACATTTATGTGTGTGATTTCCACATAGAAGACCCATCATGTAAAGTCTGTGCCTTCATGCCTAAACTTCATGTGTTGGAGAGACAGCTGATTTTGGCTGGCTAGCAGATAGAGAGGACCCCCCCCTTTTTTTTTTGCTGCAGCAGACCCAGGCTGAAGCCTCGCAGCCTTACCCGCAAACCGCTTTGTATTTCAGTCCACCGACTCTGAGGATAACCTAGTTCCGGGGCGGAGGGCATCTCTCTCTGACCTGACAAGTGTGAGAGACATTGATGCCCTCTCCGTAAGGCAGCTGAAGGAAATCCTCGCTCGGAACTTTGTCAACTACAAGGGCTGTTGTGAGAAATGGGAGCTGATGGAGAGAGTGACCCGCCTGTACAAAGAGAAGGACCTTCAGCAGCTGGGTAAGGATTCATTTGGGGGGGGGCAGAAAATACACACACACACACACACACCCCGACCGTATTTTTCAGTGTATAACACGCCCCCATGTATAAGAGGCCCCCTATTTTTGGGGACTCAAAAATAAGAAAATGGGGGAGATTGCCCCCGTGTATAAGACTACCCCCCTTTTAACATTATTTTTAGTAAAAAAATCCTAGTCTTATACACGGAAAAGTACGGTATATATCAAGGGTCCGCAAACCTTTTCATTGGGGCCGTCCACTGTCCCTCAGACCTTGTGGGGGCCCCGACTATGTATATATATAGTTTTTTGGGGGAAATGCCCCACAAATAACCCAGAGATGCATTTAAAATAAAAGCACACATTCTACTCATGTAAAAACACACTGATTCTCGGACTGTCTGTGGGCCGGATTTAGAAGGAGATTGGGCTGGATCCGGCCCCCCGGCCTTAGTTTGCATACCCATGGTATATATATTTCATCTGCACATATCTTTGTATATCTGTGGGAATGAGAGGGCTTTTTTAGTTTAGAGAAAAGTTGAGTAAGAGGCGGCATCCCACAAGTTTGTGAAATGCTGCGCAGCATGGAGAAAGTGGATAAAGGTTTTTCCTCCCTCTCCCCGCACTTCACATCCCATGAAGTTGAATGTGGGGAGATTTAGGATAAAGGAAAGCCCCTCTTCATGCAGCACATGGTTAATCTATGGAACTCACACCCTTAGGAAGAGCCAAGTTGGATGGTTTTCAAAGATTAGACAAATTCGTGAAAGAGAAAGCTATCGATGGCCACCGGCCATGAGGGTTCTGCTCTGCCTCCACAGCTGGAGGCAGCAATGTTTCTGAATACCAGTTGCTGGAAACCAAAGGAAAGGAGGGGGCTCTTACACTTGGGTCCCCTAACAAGCATCTGGTTGGCCATGGTGAGAACAGGATTCTGGACTAGATGAGCCGTTGGCCTGATGCAGCCGCAGGGTCTCATGAAATTGGCATAAAAAGTGGAACAGCCTCTGGCCCACCATAGGATCTCTCATTCCCAGAGCTTTGTTCCCTTTTCTCCTAAGTAATTTTTCCAGTCCCCACTCCATTCTTCCCAGAAGGCAGTAGCTAGGGAATGACACATCTTGTTTATTTTAATTGAGCACTGTTGCAATAGGATTTCATCAAACTTCTCTTTTTTCTGTTTTCAGTTTCTGATACGGATGATCAAGCTGGTAAGCAGCCCTTGTTTCTCCTTTCAAAATAGTTGCTCAATGGGAAGGACGGGCATTTATTTTGTGCAGGGGGTGGGTGGGACTTTGTCTCTCTCATTTATGGACAGCAAGCAATCATATATGAATGTGTATACACCTTGATGATAGGATAAGAATCTTAAAATGGCAAAGCCCAGAGTTGATGATGGGAAGTTTTGGAAAGCGGCTCTCACTCAGACATGGGCCCCGTCTCCCCAGTGTGCTCCATGTGGGGCTTCCCTTGTTCCAGATTTGGAAGCTGTAGCACAATTGCTGACAGGAGTGAGACCCCATCAGCAGAGAATGCCTCTGCTCAGGAATCTCCACTAGTTGCTGATTTGCTGTCCGGCTAAGTTCAAGGTGTTACTATTAGTATGTAAAGGCCTTAACAACTTGGGACCGTTTACCTGGAAGATCACCTTGCCTCATATGTGCCCATTTGACTGATCCAAACTGTTACAGGTGCCACAGAACTTGATCTTTTAGTGTGGCAGAACCCACTCTGTGGAACTCCCTGCCTGTTAACATCAGGAAAGCACCTTCACTGTACTTCTTTTTAGATGCTTGCTAAAAACATTCTTATTTAGGCAAGCCTGTTGTTGTTGTTGTTGTTGTTGTTGTTGTTGTTGTTGTTTGTTGTTGTTATTTTACCAACCCTTCACCCTAAGCTCCCAGAGCGGGTTACAACAAAGAAAAACCAACATTAATGTTAAAACACCAGTACAGTCATACCTTGCAAGTCAAATGTAATCTGTTCCGGAAGTCCGCTCGACTTCCAAAACGTTCGAAAACCAAATCGCAGTTTCTGATTGGCTGTAGGAAGCTCCTGTAGCGGAAGCCCTGGCAAACGTTCGGGTTCCAAAAGAACGTTTGCAAACAGGAATACTCACTTCCGGGTTTGCGGCGTTGCGGAGCCAAAACGTCCAAGTTCCAGGGTGTTTGGGATCCAAGGTACGATGGTACAGCATATTAAAAGTAAAGGGACCCCTGACCATTAGGTCCAGCTATGGCCGACTCTGGGGTTGCGGCGCTCATGTCGCTTTATTGGCCGAGGGAGCTGGCATACAGCTTCCGGGTCATATGCCCAGCATGCCTAAGCAGCTTCTGGTGAACCTGAGCAGCGCACGGAAACGCCGTTTACCTTCCCGCCGGAGTGGTACCTATTTATCTACTTGCACTTTGGCGTGCTTTTGAACTGCTAGGTTGGCAGGAAAAGGGACTGAGCAATGGGAGCTCACCCCGTCACGGGGATTCGAACCGCCGACCTTCTGATCAAGTCCTAGGCTCTGTGGTTTATCCCACAGCGCCACCCATGTTCTGTACAGCATATGAAAAGCAGTTTAAAACAACTATGTATCCAGGCATGTAGAATGTTCGACGAGAGTCTTAATCTGTGTTTAGCTTATTATTGATTTTAATTATTTTTCTGAACGTTTTAAATAACTTTTTATTGATAGTTTTATTGCTTTTTTCCTGTTTGTAAACTGCTTTGAGGCTTTCTTTTTCTTACAATCAAGTCCCCCCTTTGCCGTTCCAGCTCCATCTGGCAACGCCACTCTCCCTGGCTCGGAGGACAACCTCTGCAAGATCTGCATGGACTCCATCATTGACTGCGTCCTCCTGGAGTGTGGCCACATGGTCACCTGCACCAAGTGTGGGAAGCGCATGAACGAGTGCCCCATCTGCCGGCAGTACGTGATCAGAGCTGTCCATGTCTTCAGGTCTTAAGGGCTTTGTCCGAAGCAGGGCGGAATATCGTCTTAGAAGACTCACCCCACTGTGACGGAGAGCTGATGGGTCCCAGCTATCCAGCCCCTCCTTCCCTCCATTCCTAAGGCGCCCCCTTACAGGTGATGGGCGAGGCAAGGGATGGAGGAACTGCAAAAAGACTCAAGAGCTGTGATAGGCTGGGCTCCCCCCTCCCCACACACGTACGATACTGTACATTATACCGCAGTGCCTGGAGAGCTGGAAATCCTCAACAGATCTCGAAAGTGATGCGCCGTTCCTCCCTCTCTCTGTTTGCTTGCAACAGGGCATCAACAAAAGGCGTGGCTTTCCCCCAGACGTTGAGGCTCTTCCCCTCTGGAGTGAATAAAACAAGGTGGTCTAAAGAGGAAGAGATAACTCGCTGCTCTCAGTTCTCTCCTCTTTTCTCTAAAGAGGCCATTTACAGGGACATCGGCGTTTTCATTTCTGGGACTTGTTCCTCTTTTCAAAGCGTTTTTACATTTTTTTGGTGAAACAAAACACAAGGACCTCTTCGGTTTGTTCGCTAGCCTTGCAGGTCAGGCTAAATGCTGCCTTGGATGCATAATCCAAGCAAATGCGTGGCTTCCTGGCGGCCATGGTGAGGAACGTCCCTCCCGTTCATGTAAGGTGGGACTGGGAGCGGATTTGCAACTGTGAAGGAGACATTTCAGTCCAGTGTCTTGGCACATGAGTGTCTTTGGGGCTACTTCCTTGCGTTTCACAATTTTTTGTTTACCACCCCCTTCCTGTGAGCAAGCACAGTGGTCTTTGCAGAGCCCTGGGTTTACTTGTAGAATTAGTTATGTCTTCTGTTCTGTGTAGGAAAGGAGGGCCCATACCCTTTGGAATAGACCTTGACCAGAGCAGTTTCATTTTGGGGAGCGGTAAAACCAGTCACCTCGTTCTGATGTGTCTCTGAACTCCCCCAAGGCCCTTGTGCGCTGATAAATCATGATATTAGTGTGAGTAGACAGTTATGAGATTATTTTGTTGGGTCTCTGGCGACTCTCCGCTATGAAACTGGAATGGACAAATTTCTCATCAGCGTACTTCAGGAGGCTGAAGACTGCGTGCTAGTTGGCTTTTTATTTTTTTAAATGCTTGTTTTGCCTTATGGATGCCAAACCATGGCATCTCAGTTGCCTGTTTTGAGAAGGCAAGCCCATTAGCCATCTGCTGGAGTGCTGGCTCAATTTGGAAGAGAGGACTTTGCCAATGGCAGGGGAGATTCCTGCAGGTAAGGGCCCCTGCCCTTTTACCCTGAAATCAGCTCTCGAGTGCCGCTTCATACATCGCCCAGACGGCAGCCTCTGGTTTGTCAATTCCCCTGAACATGGACTTTTTTAATAATACAAGCAGTTGCCTGGAGGAGACAGAACAATATCCCCGTCTTAAGGAGAGCCCATCTTCTTACTGTTAATGGTGGAGCCTCTCCTCAGTAACTCTCAGACATGGGTTTGGAAATATCCAGGGAGCAGCAGCTCTGTTTACACACATTCTCTGCCTTTCTCTCCCCTGTGGTTCGAAAGCCTTAAACAACAATGGTACTTTTTCTTCTGCTTGTTCTTTCCCTCAGCAGTGTCTTAACTCTCAAGTGGACCCAGTGGCCTTTCTGGACCAAACTCCAGGTATTTTAAGTGCCTCGCAGAGATGAAGGGTTGCGGGGTGGGGGTTGAATAATATAAACTTGCCTTAAACTTCTTGAGTCTTGCACCGTTACAGAAAGGGGCTTGCGGGAAAAGTGTTGGGCGTAAAATGTGTATGCAGAGTGGTTGAGTGGGGCTGTAGACAGCGTATTGCTGCTGGTCTTTGCTTGCCTGCGGGTAGACATGTCCATTGTGGAAAAAGGCAGGCTACATCCTTCCTTGTGGCAGCAAGGCTCACTCTCTCTCCCCTCCCTGAATGCTTTAGTCTTCATGGCAGCATAGCCTTCTGAGGCACCAGACAGTCTTTCCAGAAAAAAAACATGTGCATGCACCATGTTTGATATGCACTATGATGCCCCATTCTTTCCAAAGATCTGGCTTCTGAACTGGACCGTTTGTACCTGAATTGTGGGCCTGCAAAATGATGGGACCCTCACCCCTTGCTCCTGGGTAGCACCTGCTGCTGGACAGATGTGCTGTCTGCATATGCCTCTATAAATTTTGCTGCCAGCTTAGCCAGTACGGACAGTGAAGGGGGGAAAAGTTCTGCCTGGGAGCGATTAAACCAAAGAACAACTTTAATTGGCTGCTGCTTTATTTACTCAAGGACTGGAAGATTTTTATAACTCACACACCTGTGCCTAGGGGGAGAAGAGCTAATCTTGCTTGTTTACTTGCCTCAGCAATGGAGCTGTACCAAAACAGCACACCAACAGACTACAGATGTGCAGAAAAGCCTGAGCATTCTGTTATTTCCAATTTTCACAGCTAGTGGTGGAAACCCTATGTGAGCCATTCTCCCTTTTGATCTTCCAAATTTCTTTTCCCTTTGTAGGAAAAGCCTTTGCCAATTTTTCTGATCCTAACTTCACTCTCCAAGCTCTGGATGGGCTGACAAGCTGTGGGGATGGAGTTTATATGGGGTTAATGTTGCAGGAAAGCCAGTATCAGAGAATGATACTTTGTATGCACAATTCTTCCTGCTCCCACCCTCAAACTTTGGAGAAGTTCTTATGTGGTTGCAGTTTTGAGGAACGATTTAAAAAAGATCAAGGGGATGAATTTTGATCATTTGTAAGGGAGAACTATCAGTAAGGAATAAATTTGGGATAGATGGGGAGGCAGGAAAGAGGCAGCTCGTTAAATGAGGAAAATGTATTGGTTTACACACATGGGTAAATTAAGTGCATTATTAGATTTAACAGGGAACTATTTGTGTCTAGCAGTTAACTCTGGAAAGCAGAGCTAGATACAGGAAGAGTGTGTGGTTGGAGATGGGAATTTCCCCACCCATTCAACTTGCTTATGTTTGTCTTGGTAACAAAGTGCACAAGTTGGTCTTAACTGATCGCCCCTCCTTCCTTTGCTGCAAAGCTGGCTATGCTTCCTGGGCTGTGATCTGGTGAAAGTGATGCTGGTTTGTGACTTGGCAGGAAGCTGCTGCCCTAAAGCTGTGGAAAATAAATTTCGTCTGAAAAGTTTTTTGTTTTTTTTAATACAGCAAATGTATGCTTTGTTTGACCAGCGTGAAAGTTAAGTCTATTAATTGAGGCCTGTTGAACCACACACAGTTTCTTAACAGATGGTGGAACTGAATCCTGCCTTATAATTTTATAATAAAATGGAAATGCCTTATAAAAAAGTGACTTCTGTCATCTTTTCAACAGCAGATACACTCCTTTGCCTCCCTGCTCCAAGTAGGTTTTCGGTAGCAATGTGTTCTGATGCTCTTAGAAAATGTGCATCATTTGAGGCTGGTATTCTTCAACCAGTGGAAATCCATTCTGTTACCCAAGTAAAATGTGCATTGTCAGGCTTGCTCTCTAGAACTGGAGGCACCTGGAGTCAGTGCTATTTTTCTAGGAAAAGAGGTGCTGGAACTCACCATGAACACCTCCCTTGTTCTCTTAGAATGGCAATGGCACCCGGCAGAGAGGTGCCAGAACTGAGTTCCTGTGAGTTGCCCCTGAAAAAAAGCCCACCCTAAGAGTCATTTCTTCCTGGCTGCATTCCCTTGCTACCAGCAATGCCTTGCCACCTCTCTTAATATTTGTATGCTGCTGTGTCATTAGAAACATATCAAAGGAGTTTACAGCAACAAAGTTAAAAACAGACATCAATTAACCATTGAGGAAGGCTGTATTCTTAATTGCCTTCATAGGCTTGGTGGAACAGAAAAGCTCTCAGCAGATGTTTAATAGTTGGCACAGAAAGGGCCAGAAAGTAGCAGTGTGTTCCACAGGACTGGACTGATGACACTAAAGGCTCAGTTCCTCGCTGTTGTCAAATGAGCCTCACCTACTTGGGGAATGACCAACAACACTCCTGCAGATGATCTCTGTGACTGAACTGGCATATAAGGGTTCAGGTAGTTCCTGAGATACTCAGGACCTAAGTTGTTCAGGTCTTTGTAAATTAATACAGGGACCTTGAACCTGGCTCAGTAACAGATGGGTGGCCAGTGCAGTTGTTTTAACACAGGTGTCATCTGTTAAAGCTCCCATCAGCAGTCTGGTCACTTCACAACACATGAACTACAGTGGTCAGGCCAATGGTCAAGTGTGAAGCCATGGAAATTGGAATGACAGCCTCTTCCCAAGCCAGGCAACATGTTCCCACTGGGACATGGGGAGGAGGTAGGAGAAGATTCTCTTCTACAAAAGGGGAGTAAAAGGCAGAAACCTTCAGACTTAGCTGAGGAGTTTGCATGGCAGTAACAGCTCTGCTGCACTTGTGGGTCTTGACCCTATAGTAGGAGACTTACTCCCTTAGACTTAAATACCACCTTTTCATTTTGCGGGGGACGGGACAGGACGACAACTATACCCCTTTATTCTTAGAAATAAGAACAGACCCATGAGGTGATATTTAATTTGATTTCCATAATGTCAGTTTATCAGAGCTGAAAATTTCATCCCAAAAGGTGTTAAACCTTTTCTTTAAAAATGTAGCCAAGGCATCCTTAAAAACCACTTTGCTCCCCTCACCTGTCCCTGTGGCTGCTGCAGCCTTGGCATGGGCCAAAGACCAGCTTAGCAAGGGGCTACCAGCCTCCTTTTCCGTATGCACTCCCAGATCCAGTCCGGGGAGACGTGCTTGGCAGATGGATTCTCTTCCACGTCCCCCATAACGTGTGTCGCTGAGGAGGTGTCAAATTCGCGGACCAGGTCTCCGTCGTAGGCGACAAAATACCGCCTAATTTTGCTGAAGCCTTCCACAGAAGGAGGCAGGTACAGCTTCACCCCAGTGAAGATATCCAGCAGCATCTGCGGATGGAGAAATGGGAAGACACGCACAACAGGATGGTGAGTGAGGAGGGACTCAGCTTGCTATATGGTGGGTTAGGAACTTGCGGCCCACAGGCCTAGTTGGGCCCACAGGACTTCTCCATTTGGCCCATGAGGTTGCTTCAACCGAGCCACACCTATCTGACGTCACCGAAGGTGGGGGAGTGCTTGGACAAAAGGGGCTTTGCAGGCACTCACTGGCAATGCCTGAAAAGCCCCCAACAAAGCATTTCCATCACTGGAAGGCTTCCTTTGGAATTAAAATAAAATGCATCGCAAGGGGTTGGACCCCCTTGGGGTCTCTTCCTACAATTCTATGAAACATTTTCTCTTTCCAAAGGATGCAGATTGTTATTCAGAACGCTTCCTTCAGTTACAAGAAAGTAAGCACAGCTGGATTAGGCCAAAGGAACACCTTTTCACAGCTGTTAGCCACCTACCTCTGGGAAGTCTGCAAGCAGGGGGTGAGTACACTCCCCCCAGGAGCTGGTATTCAGAGGCAAGCTGTCTCCAACAGTGCAGGCAGATTATAGCCATCCTGGCTAGTAGCCACTGATATCCATTTCCCAGGAGAGGGATGAGGAGGTCAGGTCCTCTTACCTTCCCCTTCTCTCCTTCCAGCTCAGAGGCTTTCCTCTTCTCTCCTCGTTTCTCCGTGGCCTTCTTCAGCGGGGACTTTTCTACAGGTTTGCTGGCTAAAAAGAAAAAAGACAATAAAACATTCTACATCAGTGAGTTAGGGTGCCTTGCCAGGAGAAGGGAGAGGGCAGTGTAGAAGGGTCAACGGTGGGCATCTTGTGGCGGTGTGTCCTTCCCACTCAAGAGGTCATGCAATGCTACTTTAAAAAAAAATCTCTCACAAAAAAATGCACTGGTCTTCTAGCCCACCTCACCCCATAAACTGTGGAGTGGGAAACTGATCACTTAAAATAAGTATCTGCACCAGTTAAAGCCACAGAAGAAGGGCCTGCTAGAATAGGCCAATGGCCCATCTAGTCCAGCATCCTGTTTTCAAATAAACATAGGAAGCTGTTATACAGAGTGATATTATTGGTCCATTTAGCTCAGTGCTGTCTACACTGACTGGCAGAAGCTCTCTCCAGCATTTCATGCAGGAGTCTCTCCCACTTGGTGACTGAATCTGGGACCTTCTGGGTGCCAAGCGAGTGCTCCACCAACTGAAATACAGTCTCTCCCCTTCTCACAGTGGCCGATCATCACCCTATTCCTGGCAACTGACAGGCAACTTGATTGCAACAGCCTGTCTTTATACTAGGGTTTGGATGGGCTTTAGGGTGGCCCTGAGAGGGTTTTGGAAAGCATGTGGCAGGGATTGGCACTGAACAAGCTTTGGGTGTTGCCCCTCCATGAGAGATGTTATCCAGAAACAATTTTATGCTGCTTGTCCAAAGCTCAGAGCAGCTTCCAGAACAAAAAATAAGTAACTATTATAATTAGAGACATGGAGAAACCTAAAGCATGAATTACAAAAATGGAACAGCATCATTGATGAACTGACAGATTGATCAGTGCACAATGCCCACTGCAGGGATGGAGGAACCTGTGGTTTGCTAGACGTCCAACTCCCATCAGCGCCTTCCAGTGGCCAAGGAGGATGCTGGGACTTATAGTCCTTGGGAGTTATAGTCCAGCAACATCTGGAGGGCCAGAAGCTTCCCTCCATCTCTGACCCCAATCCCCATAAGAAAAAAGGTGCACCTTGCAGTCCCTTAAAAAGAGAGTGAAGAACTGTGGCTTTGAGCTGCCGTGGGGCCATGACCATAAAGGCCCTGCTTCTACAGCTGCACCTCTCGCCATGTGTTCTCAAAACACAAAGCAGGAACCCAGCTGGGTGTGTCTTTATTTGGGGCAGGGTTTGATGCCCAAGGGAACTTTCAACAGCCCTCCCCACCCCACCCCACAACAACAAACATCCCAGCCCCCACACCTTCAGGCTTCTTAGCTTTTGCCGGGGACTTGCTGGAGGGCTGCTTCGGAGCCTTGCGGGGAGTGGAAGACCTCGACTGCCCTTCTGTCTCTCCGCTGCTGCCAGCTGTGGAGTTCTCCTCCTCCATGGCGACCACAGTGAAGTCAGACTTCTCCTTGGACAACTGGTATAGCTCCTGCCCCCCGTCAGAGTACAGGGATTTGCCATTAGAAAACAGGAAAGAAACCCTCAGCCAAGGAACAAAGGAAGTTGCCTCCGGTCCATCTAGCTCAGTATTGTCTACACTGACTGGCAGGAGCTCCCCCGGGTTACAGCCAGGAAAAGCCTTGCCAACCCAACCTGGGGATACTGTTGGGGACTGAACCTTGGATCTCCTGCAGGCAGAACAGACACCCCACCAATGAGCTGCAGCACTTCCCCTTGAAACAAAAGAGATTATAATTTTAAAAGATCTATCAATCTATTTACAAACACACATGTACAAATAAAGCTGAGCCAGACCCTTGGTCCATCTCACTCAGCACTGCCTAGACTGACAGACAGCAGCTCTCCAGGATTTCAGACATACTCTTCAGGATTTGTCAGCCATACCCAAGCATGATTCTAATCCTACTGGTTCTGACTACAGGGTTGGGGGTTAGACTAGATTACCCTTGAGGTCCCTTCCAACTCTACAATTCTACGATTCAGAGGAAGCTGCCTCCTACTGAGTCAGACCACAGGTTCACCTAGCTCAGCACTGTCCACACTGACTGGCAGCAGCTTTCCTAGATTCCAGGCAGGAGAAACCTTCCCAATCTGACCTGGTGACGTCATTGGGGACTGAACCTGGGATCTTCTAAATGCAGAACAGATGCTCCATCACTGAGCTACAGCTGCTTCCCGTAAGAATCAAGTGAAGTTCCACTCCTGGTTCTGAAGGAAGGGCAGATGAGAAGAAGTAGTGGGTGACTCACCCGTAGTTGTGGTAGGGAGGTGGCCGTGGCCCAGTCTTTGTCGTCTCGGATCCGCGTGCAGCGTGGAAAGCGGATGGAGATCCCATCGGCGGTGTGGGCCTCTGCTTTGGAGAACTCAGCCCCCGTGATCTCCCAGACTGGCGCTTCCTAAGGCAGAAGGCAACGATCGCAGAATGAGCTGACCCAACCTTCCTTGGCCAATCCTCTCTCTGCTGCCCAATGCAGTTCACCATTAAAGGATAGCAGTTTGTGAGGGAGAACTCTGCTGGAGAACAGCCAGAATTCTGTGCGAGTTCTGCACAAGCATGAAACAGAATTCAGCACCCCAAGAATCCCAGCTTATGTTCTGAAAATTCTAAAGGAAACTACTAGCCCTCATGGCCAGAGAGGTAGTCTTGGGAGTACTGGGTGCAGAATTGTAGTGTATTAAGCACATACACAGC